TCAAACACTTATGCTCATCAAAAGACTTCACCAAAAGAGTAAAAAAGACAACCTACAGACTGGGAAAAAAATTTTGGCTGTGACAAATCTGATCAGCATCTAATCTCTAAGATCTACAAGATACTGTAAAACCTCAACAACAAAAAGACAAATAACCCAATTAAAAAATGGGCAAAGACTATGCACAGGCACTTCACCAAAGACGACATTCAGGCGGCTAACAGATACATGAGGAAATTGCTCATGATCATTAGCCATTAGAGAAATGCAAATCAAAACTACAAAGAGATACCATCTCACCCCAACAAGGCTAGCATTAATCCAAAAAACACAAAATAATAAATGTTGGAGAGGTTGTGGAGAGACTGGAACAGTTATACACTGCTGTGGGAATGTAAAATGGTATAACCACTTTGGAAATCGATTTGGTGCTTCCTTAAAAAGCTAGAAATAGAAGTACCATATGATCCAGCAATCCTGCTCCCTGGAATATGTCCTAGAGAAATAAGAGCCGTCACATGAATAGATATATGCACACCCATGTTCATTGCAGCACTGTTCACGCTAGCAGAAAGATGGAAACAACCTAGGTGCCCATCAACGGATGAATGGATAAACAAATTACAGTATATTCATGCAGCAGAATGCTATGCAACAATAAAGAACAATGATGAATCTGCGAAACATAACATGGATGAATCTGGAAGGCATTATGCTGAGTGAAACTAGTCACAAAAGGACAAATATTGTATCAGACCACTATTATAAGAACTCAAGAAAAGGTTTAAACACAGAAGAAAACATTCTTTGATGGTTGTGAGGGTGGGAGGGGGTATTCACTAACTAGATGGTAGATAAGAATTATCTTAGGTGAAGGGAAGGACAACACACACTACAGGGGAAGTCAGCACAACTGGACTAAACCAAAGCTAAGAAATTTCCTGAATACAACCAAACACTTCAAGGAACAGAGTAGCAGGGGTGGGGGTCTGGGGACCATGGTTTCAGGGGATATCTAGGTCAATTGGCATGACACAGTTTATTAAGAAAATGTTCTGCATCCCCCTTTAGTGAGTGGCGTCTGGGGTCTTAAAAGCTAGTGAGCAGCCATCTAAAAGTAAGATGCATCAGTTGGTCCCACTCCACCTGGAGCAAAGAAGAATGAAGAACACCAAAGACACAAGGAAAATATTAGCCCAAGAGACAGAAAAGGCCACATAAACCAGAGACTCCCATCAGCCTGAGACCAGAACTAGATGGTGCCCTGCTACCACCAATGACCTCCCTGACAGGGAACACAACAGAGAGTCCCTGACAGAGCAGGGGACAAGTAGGGTGCAGAACTCAAATTCTATTAAAAAGACTAGACTTAATGGTCTGACTGAGACTGGAGGGACCTGGGAGGACATGGCCCCCAGTCTCTCCATTAGCCTAGAACTGAAACCATTCATAAAGCCAACTCTTCAGACAAAGATTAGACTGGACTATGGGACATAAAATGATACTCGTGAAGAGAGTACTTCTTAGCTCAAGTAAATAACATGAGACTATTGGCAGCTCCTGTCCGGAGGTGAGATGAGAAGGCAAAAAGGGACAGGAGCTGGTTGAATGGACACGGGAAATGCGAGGTGGGAAGGGAGTGTGCTGTCACATTATAAGCAGAGCAACTAGGGTCACATAACAATGTATGTATAAATTTTTGTATGAGAAACGGACTTGAACTGTAAACTTTAAAGCACAATACAAAAAAAAAAAAAACAACTCCAGCTCCAGAGGGTGGGTACCAAAGAAAATAGTAATAAGACCTGTAGCTTTAGGCAGCTGCTGAAACTGACTGCTTTCCCTTCGACTCCGAAGTCACAGCCAGGAGAGAGGGAAGCTTTATACTGGGTGGAGCTCCTTTTGGGACTTGGAGCTGAGAAGGCTAATAGCCTGGTTTCAGAATTGGAGCCCAGGCCGTTGGCCCAGAGGAGCAGCCAGGGGCTAAAGCAAGGCTTGACTAGCTGCTCAGTCCTCACCAGCCCCTGGCTGCTGCCTGGAGGGTCTGGGTTTCTCCTGAAAGGCCTTTAGCACTGTAGACAGTAGAATACCCACACAGGCTCAAATTTTGTGAGGCAACATGTTAACAGTGGGAATATTATCTAGCTTGGGAATCAGGATCCCAGCTGTACATGGCCTTGGACAAGTCACTTCGCCTCTTTGAGCCTCAGTTTCCCCACCTATAATGTGAAGCCCTCCTAGTGCTGGCATCGTAGGGAGACATGGAGGAAGGCAGGTGTCCACCTAGGCCCCAGTTTCTCCCACTATCCTCTTGCTTTCTTTCTGATTTCCAGGAAAAAGGCCTGTAAGTACTTTGAGCAAGGCAAGGGGACCTGCCCATTTGGAAGCAAATGCCTTTACCGCCATGCTTACCCTGATGGGCGGCTTGCAGAGCCCGAGAAACCCCGGAAACAGCTCAGTTCTGAAGGCACCGTGAGGGTAAGGACATTGCTTTGTTCAGGGACCCTGAGCTGTGAGCATTTCCAGATACTATTCCTTGCCTATTGTTTGGCGACATGGCTTTGGCAGCAGGGACTGGGGTAAGCAAAAGAAAAAGTGACATATCTTTCATGTTGCCGTTAGCAGTAACCACGCATGTTTTCTGGACGTTTTTGCAGTTCTTTAACTCTGTGCGGCTCTGGGATTTCATCGAGAACAGAGAAAGCCAGCACATCCCCAACACTGAAGACGTCGACATGACCGAGCTTGGGGACCTCTTCATGCACCTTTCGGGAGTCGAGTCTTCAGATCCCTGAAGAGTAGACGGTCGCCCCTGCACCTTGGGCTCAGCTGGTCGAGCCTCCCAAGCTAGGGCGTGCAGCTCCCTGTCTGCTGCGCTAGGTGGCGTGTCACTCTGGTTTGAGTGGCGTTGTTCTTAGCCTTGGTCTCATCCACTCTCCATGATTACGGCCACGGGAACAGTGAAGGATATAAAATAACCTGTCTAGTATATGGCCTGGTCATTCTTACAATTGGTATGTTAGCTGCACTTCAAGCTCCTTAGGGGAAACAGCTAACCACTCAAACCGAGTTCTGACCGATTGCTTTTACAACAAACCTGGTTCCTGTTTCTCCCCAGAAGCAGTAAACTTGCAGTTGCTCCTTAACGCAGCAGATTCCTTTTTCTTACCAAAGGATTCTGCTTCATCCTGTAAAAGGATTCCTCTGTAGTGACTTTCCTTAGTGTATTTAATTTCCTTAGTGTATTTAAATAGTGTGTGGTCAAAACTTTGACTTAAACAGGACTTCTCAAGCACATTTTCTGTAAAGTGGGCTCTTCACAGCTATAGTATAAAATTTTAGCACTCAAAGGCTCTTCACCTTAAGTATGATCATCATTCTTTTGAGTTCTCTGAAGTATCCAAAAGGAGTTGCTTCTTTTTCAGGGAAAAGCGTTTCCAATTACCATGAAACTAGAATTTTGTATTTTGGCAAACATGGAAAATGAAAGAGGCCATGTTTACCGAAAGAGCAGTAACCTTGTTGCCATGTGTTCAGTAAACAAAGAAGTTCAAGTATAAATCTTTTTCCCTGTAAGGGAGGCTCTTGAAGTACGCAAGGCAGTCCTGGGAAGCAGATTGGAAGTATAGCCCTCTCACTGCTGGGCCTGGGCCCAAAGAACCCCTGCACACATCCCTCCAGAGAAAACAACCCTGGCTCTCACCTGGGAGCTCTTTGGACATAGGCCTGTCATATGGGGTTAATAGTCAAGCATTTATTCTTACCTGTAAAGCGTGGCTTTGATTTGAAATTTTGTAACTTGATGGACCCCAAGGAGGTTTCTGGTTCTGCACCCAGCAAGTGTCCTGAAAGAAGTGAGCTCAAATCTTCAATTGTGATTTTAATTGAAGGACGAGTGTAATCTTGGAATTTGTCTATTTTTTTTAACAAGCTGTAGATAACAAATGTTTTATAAATGTAGGTAGAAAAGGTCTGCTTTTACCTTTGAGTTTAGAGCTTTTACCTTTGAGTTTAGAGTGCCTTTTGTTTAAGAAGACAAAGGCTGAAGTAAAATTCACTCCAAGCCTGTGCTCTGGGCTCACTTCCTGCTTCTTGTATTCTTCTCCAGAAGAGAGTACTGATTTATAACCCACCCCTAAGGGCCTGAACAAGTGGAGTGTCAAGCTGTGAGCTCGGTGGTCTTAACCTACAACACTTTATTACTTTAAAAGGAGTTAATATTACTTTAAAAGGACTTAACAGCCATTAAACCTAAATTTAATTTATTTTATTAAAATAACATAATTGAGGAACCATAGTATAGTAACTGTATCTTGTCAGGCGCAATAAAAACAAAATTGAAACCCAATTCATCAAGAAAACCTGTATCCTTGGCTTCCTTGCATACCCTTGATGTGACTGTAGAGACAAGGCTGGTTCTGGGGCCCCGCCCCATAGGGGCAGCTCCTGGAAGACTGCTCCCCATGTTGGAAGACTGCTCCCTGAGAGGGTGGAGACTGGGAGGGCAGGCCAGTCACCTCATCTGGAGACATCAGGCTGGGTGAAAAAAGGAAGTGTCCAAGAAGGGAAGTTCCATAGTACCAAAGCAGGCTCCTTCAGGCGGCCGGGGGTCTCGACAGTCCTGGTCTGTTTGGTGCATTATGTGCAAAACTACCTGTTTGGCGCCTCGCCACTATATGGTTGAAGAAAAGTCCTTCCTCTCATAAGCATTCCTCATAGGAGCTTATTTCCAAAATCCACGTGTCCCCCATCTGGGCTGGATTGCCTGCTACACCTTCATTTCCCCTCTGAGTACTCTTTCTTGCCCTAAAAATACTCATTTAGCCAAGAGCTGGGGGGTCCCAGATGATGTATTGCCATCAGCATCCACTTGTGCATCTGGAGAAGGCTTGGCTCATGAGCATGCGGGGAGACAGGGAGGCAGGACAAACCAGCACGGTGAATGGCTTCCTCCTCCCAGGGCCAGAAAGGGTAGAAAAGAAGGCCACATGAAGTTAAGGCCCTGTGAATCGTCTAGAAGGTCCTTAGCAGCAGCTTCTCTGAAAATGGGTTCTGTCCCCATAGACAGGGAGCAGAAAGTGGTGCCTGCTGACTTCTCTTCCTTCCCTAGTGGCCTGAGTGCAGGTATAAAGCCCAACTAGAAGACAGGCAGTCTAGGGGACGTGGTCAACGTGCAGGCATTGATATCCTCAGTGTGGGCCGCCCGGTGCAGGGATGGCTCAGAAGCACTCCGGTTGATTTTCGGTAGAGAGTGCTGGAGCAGCTCAATGGAAGACAGGATCTGAAACAAAGCCATAAGGTGGGCTTGGCGTGTCAGCAACAGCTTTAAACTGGGCCCCAAAACCCAGCTATTCCTTGCCCCATACCTATAAAATCTTGTAGAGAACACTACTCCCCTCCCTATAAAAACCACATGCACACATCCCACTTTATTTCTATCATTGAGATCTCCTGCTTTAAGACAGTTGCAGCCCCTTTGAGCTAAAGTCTTACCTGGGGGAAAAGAGGCCTTTCTTCCTTAACTTTCTTCACACAGTCGGCTACAAGCCTCTTCATTGCTTTGGGGCAGTTCTTGTATAGCTTACTAAGATCTGGGGAGGCATACCCTCGACCCACCATGAAGATGATCTAAGGGAGAGAAAAGAGTGGAAGGAATTGGTAGATGAACACCAGTGAAAGCAACAACATCTTCTAACTCTCTAAACTGCAGGAGGCCCCAAGGTTCCCTCAGTGAGTTAGTCCCCCTTAAGCAGCCAGCACAGACTTACCTGATCCCGGTTGTTGATGTGTGAGTAAGGAAGTTCCCCCGTCATCAGCTCATACAATACAATGCCATAGGAATAGACATCAGACTGGAAGCTGAATGGGTTATTGTCCTGCATCCGGATCACCTCTGGGGCCTACAGGGACAAAGTATCTTTACTGTCTGGATCCCACAGCCATCCAGGGGCCGCTGTCCCTTCCATTAGTAAGATTCCAGTCCTCAGCCCCCATAGTCAGTTGTTCCCCAAAGGGCTCCAATTCTCAAGAGATTCCCACACTTCCTATCACCCTACTTGCTAACTCCTCTCCGTGATCTCCAGCCTCCTCTGGGAAATCCAAATTTGCCCTGGGCTGTCTGATCTAGGAAAGTGGACACAATAACCTGTGGTCATCTGCAGTTTTGGGAAATGACAGAAATGCTCTAAGTTTGCACAGAGACCCTCAGGGCACTCCTTCCACCCTGCATCAGAAGCCAGCTAGGGAGAGCCTGGGTTCCTTACCATCCACAGGATAGAGCCGGTGGGTTGTTCAACCTGCTGAGAACCACTCCAGCGTGACTTTACCGTTGCCAAACCAAAATCTCCAATTTTCACTGTCAGGCCTTCGTGGAGAAATATATCTCAATGCTTGTTAAGGACTCTGGTTTCAAAAGAATGATCAAGTTTATTTTGAAAAACTTCCTAAAGTTCTTTATAGCATAGCAATCTCGCCACCTCCGATCTGCCCAGGCTTCTCTGTGCTGGATTTGCTAAGGTTTTTGAAATTTTAAAAAAGTGCTTCTAAAATTCCCCTTCTTCCAGGAGGTACACAGGATTGCTCTGTGTGCCAGATTATTTGGCTCAGTCCAGAAACAAGCCAAAGTTTACTCCCTGCTTCTTTTCCCCATGTACATCTCTAGACGCCAGGCCCCAGCTTCATGACGTTATGACATAATGAAGGTGCCTTCAGCCCAAGACTCAGAAGAGCAAAAGCCGCTGCCAGGTGTTCTTTCCTCGGAGTGCCTGGCATGGGCCACTGGTTGCTGAGATTCCCATCTGCCTGCATCTGCCCTCAGAGGACTAACTGAAACACAAGTGGATAACAAAATGGCAAATCCCTTACCAGTGCTGAATGTTCTCGTAAGAAATCTCACTTGAACAAGTACCTCTTGGTTACTAAGATCAGAAGCAGTCACCTCACTTCTGGGGAAAGTCAAGTAGTTTAAGGCAGACTTGAGATCTACCGTGGCCCAGTAATATCACCTCAGAATCTGTGTCTGCTTTCCAGGCATGATGTTTTGCTCCAAAAAAAAAACCTACCACTGACAGGTATTCCGTAGCTCAATCATGTACCCAAAATGGGCCACATGCCAGAATCCAACTTAACCCAACTCTCATGCCTCTCACTAGCCAAGAAGCAAAGTCTGGCTGTAATGCCATGCTCCTCCCAAAGGGAAGAGCTGGAGGAAGGAGGCAGATAAAGAAAAAACTTTTATTTTAAATTTCATGCTTCACAGCATAAAAAATACCTTTGTTTTCCCTTCTATAAAAACACATAAGTCTTAGAAAAGGGGGAGAGGCTGTTTCGAACAGTGACCTTTAAGGAAACTACTTACTAGAAAAGACAAATTTTAAGTAATTTTGGATATGTTGAAACATTTGGGTTACAGCTACTTTCTGACCAGTACACACACACCGACCAAAAATCAGAAATATAAAATACAAAAGACCAGTCCCCCCAAGCTAAATGTAGAACAATGTAATAAAACTAACAAAGCCTATTTCAAACTTAACCCAAATATGTATCTCTTGTGGAAATATTTCCGAAGTCACTTTTGCTGGGATAAGTTTTTAAAAAAGAAGGGCCCCTCCCCAGACACCACTCTCATCACAGTCTGGGTGGAAGCAGAAGCTGTGGAAGACACACCAATCCTAAACTGCACCTTAAAATGTGATTTTGTTTTTTCAAAAACTACATTTCTCATTTTATTTCTTCCTATCCTTTGCCTTTTCCTAAAAAGATTTCCTCCAGCACCAAGAACCATTAGTGAAAAGAGTCTTCCTTCTGTTTTCTTAAATTTAGATTTGAGCAATCAAATGAACTCAACAACCAAAGGATACTGTTGGATTTCATGTCTCTGTGGATGATGTTCTTTGCATGCAAATAGCTGTGAAGGGAAAACGAATCTATTAGAACTGTTTGAAAGACATGGGTAAGCGCAAAGTTTCTAATTACAGTTAAAAAGATGCAAAATGCTAGAAAATATATAATTTTGCAACACAAAAAATATGTGTGGTTATATACATACATATGTATGCATACAAACCATACGTATGTATAGGTATGTATATGTGTGCATATATATGTAGCTATATGTATGTGCATATACGTGTGTGTGCATGCATGTTCATATATATAATGAAGCACACAGGAGCACAGTTCTGAATACTTCTTAGACATAACCAAACACCACACAAAATAGGTTTTCTGAGTTTGAAGCCTTAGGACCATAGTTTTGTGAGACAACTCGGTCAACTGGCATAACAGTTCACAAGGTTTATGTTCTGCATCCTAGTTTGGTGTGTAGCGTCTGAGGTCTTAAAAGCCTGCGAGTGAGTGACCATCTAAGATACAACTATTGGTCTCATCTCGTCCGGAGCAAAAGAGAAAGAAGAAACCAAAGACTTGGAGAAGAAACTAGTCTATAGGACTAACAGTCTACATGAATCATGGCCTCATCTACCCTGAGACCAGAGGAACTAGACGGTACCCGGCTACCACTAACGACCATTCTGATCAGGACCACAACAGATGAATCCTGATAGACGAGGAGAAAAATGTAGAACAGAACTCAAATTCTTAAAAAGTCCAGACTTACTGGACCAGTTGAGACTAGAGGACTCCCCGAGACTATTGCCCTAAGATACTCCATAAACCCTGGAACGAAACTACCCCCTGAGGTGAAGTCACCTGTTAGCTAAATAACAGACAGGCTCATAAAGAATATTACCACTAAGTACTGTGCACTTTTACAAAATCAGCTATATGAGACCAAATGGTCAACAATTACTCTAAAGCAAAGACGATAAAGGGTAAGGGGACCGGAAATCAGATTGCTGGAAACAAAACATCCAGAAGGCAATTAATGAGAATGTTAAAAAAAAGAAAAAAAAATTGTGAAAAATGTAATCAATGTCTCTGAACAATTTGTGTAGTAATTGTTAAACGGGAAACTAATCTGCTGTGTAAACTTTCACTGAAAACACAATAAAGTATTATTTAAAAAAAAAAAAGATGCAAAGCTACCTGAAGTCCTTACACCCCACTGAAGTGTTACCTTTAGGGCTTGGACCTATGCTTGTCTAGTCTGTCCACGCCATTCCTCGCCCGAAGGTGAGGCCACAGCACACACAGGATGACTCCTCTTTAGCAGCAGTTTTACTCAAAAGTAATTCTGACAACCCAAATGTCCATTGACTGATGAATGGATCAACAAAAGGTGGTATAACAATATAATGGAGTATTATTCAGCCACAGAAAGAAATGAAGTACTGATTCATGCTACAACGTGCTAAGTGAAAGAAGCTAGTCACAAAAGACCACGTATTGTATGATTCCATTATAGGAAATGTCTAAAATAGGCAAATCCATAGAGCTAGAAAGTAGATTAGTGCTTGGTAGGGGCTGCGGGGGGGAAGGCAATGGGAAGTGACTGCTAATGGGTTTCTTTTTGGGGTGATGAAAATGTTCTGGAATTAGATTGTTACAGCTGTACAATTTTGTGAATATACTAAAGATCACTTTAAAAGGGCAAATTTTATGGCATGTGAATTATGTCTCAAAGTTTTTAAAGTAATTCTGACTAGTTATTTCTTAAGATGTGCAGAATGCAAATTCCATATGAATTTTAAAGATTTAACACTCACAAGCACGGCTTGAGCTTTGCCCCCAGATATCTGGGGATATGAGGAGCTCTTGCTTCTCTAATATAAGGGGTACTTCAGAGGAAAAGTTTAAGAAACACTGACCTGGGCTATCGAGAAAGGAATCGACCTCCCAGCCCCCATTTCACTGAGCAATATGTCAAGCACAGAGACCCAGAAGGGTAGTATTTAATGGAGAAGCTAAGGATGACCTTCAGCCTTCTCTAAAAGGAAACAAAGTATCCAAAAAATGACATGTGATCAAACCTTCCCATGGAATAAACACGCATGTTGATGGATCATGCCTGACATCTGATGCCTGCAGACGGCGTTGCTATGGCTGTGGAAGCTGAACCTTTCAGGCATAGCTGGAACTGGAATCGGAATCCCAAGAGGGCAACCTCAGCTTGGGTGAGGAACCTGAGTATCTCATTCGTGCTAACTGGTCCCCTCCAACCCACCTGAGAGGCTCATTTTCAGCTGTGCAAAAATACCACAGAAATCACTTAACAGAGTAGATGGCTTTTCCTAATCCTGGTTCCGACCTAGGGACAAGTCAATGCTTAGGCCCAGGAGATAGTCATCAGGCCATCTACTCACTCCATTCCCTGAGCTGTCTGCCGGGCAATATCAATCAACTGGAACATCTGAAACTTGGTCTCCTGGACATGCAGGTGTTTATAGAGGCTGCTGCCTTCACACCACTGGGTCACAATCGCCAGGTTGTCCTTCGTCATGTACCCCATGAAAAGCAAGATGTTCACGTGCCGTGTTTTCCTGGAGGAGGAGGGAAGGGAAAAGGCTCTGAACCGTCAGTTGCCTCAGAACAGGGAGACCTACTCTGCTTTCCTAACAACATCAGATGCTTTGTATTCTGGACACCACCACGCTCATGACCTGAGGTAACTGGCAAAGCAAACTCGAGACATCTAATAATTCAGCTGGTGTTCTGAGCAAACCAAGGGCCATCAGTGCTGGCCTTGTTTATAAAAAGGTCAGTCTCTCCAATCAGTGTACAGTCATGACTCTCCCCAGAGGCTCACAGGACCCCTCATCCGTGCAATCTACCACTATTCAACTCATTCCAAGAAGTCTCTAAACAAGTGACTCAGACTTCAGAGCTGAAGGTAACTGAAGTACAGAATAAGGCAACCTGGCTATAAAAGGAGCTCTTGGAAATAAATATGAAATAGAACCTATTTCTCCCTACCTCAAACCTGGACTAGTGAGTGTACCCACAGACCTAAAACTAGTAGAAGAGGGTGTTCTCACGAAAAACGGCTCTGCTAAAGGTTTCACAATCACATAAATAGAAATACTCCTAAGGGAGGAGCTTCCAACAACAGCAATTCCTCAATGAACACTAATCAACCACCAGTCCCAGTCCCAGTCCCAGAATACTCAAAGACAGAGGCTCCAGCTGTGATGGCTGCTTGTTCTTCTATCCCACCACCCCTTGCCCCCCATCCTGCCCTTCTAGGGGCTGGACAGGCCAGCTTTCTACTTACCGCAGGACAGCCACCTCATTCCTAAAGGCCTGGAACTGCTCAGGTGTTGGGTCAACAACCTTGAGGATCTTTACTGCAACATCTCCTGCAAATTAGTTTGTAGTCAGGGCAATCAGTTGGATAACCTTACTTTATTGTTTCTCCAATATCCTACTTTTGGGGGATATATAGTGAATCACTTGTTCAAAGAATCATATACCTATACAGATGGAACAAATTTGCAAATCTGAAATACTTCAATGCAAGTGGCTGAAAAAAGTTAAACAGGCTATACTACCGTCCTTAAAATACCACGCCATTGGCCACTTAAAAGGCTTGGTTTAAAACTACTCACATCAACTCTGACATCCCCAGAGGTGAGGTCATGTGTGGTAGGGTCACTAGCCTCGGCCTGTGAGGATGAGATCAGTGTAGGGATGGGAATGGCCCAGCAGGGAGTGACTCACTGAGCCACAGACCAGCATGGGGAAGCAGGCCAGCGAGCAAGCGGCATCCACACTTCAGTGAGACCTAAGATGGGCCCTTGTACACACTCAGAGATATATATTAAGACCGAGCTACTCTGCCTTCAATAATACCCTCAAAAGTAATCCTAATAGTAGTGACTGCTTACTATGTCCTGACACTGTGCACTTTTACAGGCATTATCTCTAATCCTCACAGCTGCCTTATTACGTAAATACTGTTATCCTCATTTTACAACCAGCAGAGTGTAGTCATCTGCCCAAGGTCATATAGCCAAAAAAAGTGCTGGAGCCAAGATTAGAACCCCAGTCAGAGCCCGATGCCTCACTTCTAACTACAATACTGACTGTGAATCACTGTCAGTAAAACCAGCCTCCTTACGTAACTTTAGAAACACCCAGGGATTAATTCCACTTTATATGTGCTACAGATTTAGAAACCACTTTCAACAGTGTTTTATATCAATATATTTATAACAGCAATTGTAATAAATTACTTGGAGCTTATCAGAACTTCAAATTTTCATGGCAAATGAATTTGCTATAACTTAGCCTTCCAATGATCAAATGAGGAGTTAGATGAATGGATCCCTGGAGGTAACTGAGTCCAGCCCTCTACGTAACAAGCAAATCTGCCACAGCATGCCCCTGCAGCCTCTTCTGTTGGAGCAGTCCTCATTTCACTTTTGGGTAGCACCAACTACAGGGAGATGTTTCTTATGATAGGTCCCAAACTGCTTCCCTTTGATCTCTGCTTATCAGAATAGGCTCCAAACTGGCTCTTACTCAATTCACCTGTACTAGTTTTTGCCAAGGGTCTAGGGCTGCCTGTGCAGCTGCTGTTGACTCTGGACAGGAGAGATGCAAGCTATATTCAGAGATACCGTCTATCTGGGAAGATGGATCTGGTGGAACCATGTGGAACACATACGTACAGCCCTAACCTCAAGTTCCTTACCACTGAGTAGGGGGTCCAGGATTTTCTGCATAACTGCTCTTTCTGGTGGAGTCTGAGCCAAGAGAGGAGTGCTCTGAGGGCAGGGGGTCCCAAGAGGGGGAAGTGTATCTTCTTGCAGAAGGTAAGTAGAAAGGTTTTCTGAAGGAAACGGGATGCAAGCCAAGGGAAGGATTTTAACAAATAGAAGAGAGGATGTTCCAGACTGGGTATGACAGGAACAAAGCCATGGTTAAGGAGGATAAGAGAAACATGAGCTGTGTTTGGGAAACTCTGGAGTGTGACTTGGGCACATGTAGGACAGAAAAAGGGAGATCAGAGAGGAGTCTGCTGCAACAGCCCAGGTCAGAAGCAGGCACAGTAGTGACTGTGGGAAGAGAAAGGAGAGGAGGAGGCAAGAAACCCTATAAAGGTAAACTTATTCAACATGGCAGCCAGCTCAGTGGCAGGGCCAGGAAGATGACAGTGCTGATAGCCTAGGCTCCAGCACTGGGCAGAGCCTGTAAAGGGACAGGGCAGGTTTGAGAGCACAGAAAGAAGGCTTGGGGTGGGAGGAGGGTGGTGCTGGATATGGTCGCTCAGGAGAGGTTGCTTTTGTAGGACCTCCCCATTTCATGGGCCTAGTTTTATAATCCCTTTCCCTCCTCACAGCTCTCCTCTGGACATGCTCCAGATGTCACTGAACTCAGCCTGCAAGGTAACTCATCCCGGACCCAGTTAGTACTGCAGCCTCAGAGGTCAAAGGATTAGTTGGCGGTCAACACCCCTTCACAGTGACTGACTCTGACCTTGCTGTCAGCTGAGCATCCTTAGGATTTTCACCCATCCTGTTGCTAAGCCACATTTTCCACCTCTAGTTTCTATTTTTTTTAGAACAATGAACAGAACTTATCCCTGTTAAAAGTTCATCTTTTCTTTGTTCCATCATCACAGCCAGTTAAAGTCTTTTCATCTTTATAAATTCTTTTATCCAATAATGTACTACACCCCTCATTTAAGTCATCCACAATACCTGTGTCTTTACCCAAGTCATTGATGAGAAAACTGAACAGGGTCCCTCTCTCAGGGACCCACCTGCCACCCTAATAGTTACAATAACAGATTTATACGCAATGTCTTACTGAAATCCAGAAGCTGTATTCCACACCACGGCGTTCTCCTCATTGATCTGTCCACTGACTTTGTTATAAAAGGACACGCAATCAGTCAGGTATGCTACATCTCCAGTAAATCCTGGTTTCCCTTTCCAAAGAAAGACTCACAAATCATCTCTCACAACTGGCTTTTAGAATATGGTCCAGGATCCACTTCTAGTCTCTTCATTCATCTCCCCATTTTCCAAAAATGCTTGTGTCTGCCCTTGTAGAACCTCTATCTTTAGAATTCCCCAAAGTTGAGCAATCTCGTCTGCAAATTCCAAGGTCCAGGTTAAGGCCTTGGCTTCAGAGTCATTTACATTCTGCAACTCTGTCCCAGGCCTCAGTTCCCACCCATTCACGTCTGTTTAACTTTGCATCCATACATCCATCTCCACAGCAAAGATGGCAAGACTGTTTGATTTCTTCTAGTACCACAGGCGCCTCCACTCAGGCCTAGTCTCTCCCCATGCTTCCCCTGTTCCAAGTGGGCTAGGTACAGAGCCTTCTCTGAGTTTCTCTTGAACTGTAGTTTACTGTAGGCCTCTGCCTTTCCCTGATGCTCTCACTGGTCAGAGAGTCCTGACAAGTTCTTCCTTGGTTACAGCCACCCTGTGTTCCCACTGAGGCCTGTCCCTTGTCCCCTGGAGCTCAGAGTCCTTACATCTCTGAAGACCTTCTCTTTTTCATTCTCACTGGGATTGTGAGCAATTTTATCACTCTATTTTTGTTTCTGAAGGTCTCTCACCCCTCATTAAGTCATCTTCTTTTTGCAAGTCTTCCTCAGTCTGGATGACAAGCCTAACTAGGCTCCTAACTGGCTGCCACAAACTCAAAGGTCACTATCCCCAGGGAGCCTGGTCATGTGTGATTCGCCAACAACTTCTCCTCCTTGCTAGGCAGAACCAACCAGCACAGCAACAGCAACTTCCCCCATTAGTTCTTCTGTTACCTTCTAAGAGGGGAACTCGGGGTGGGAGTGGGGAGCAGCTTACAAATGGAAACTCCGCAAATACTCCAAGAAATGCCATGAAAGGGATTCGATCTACTAGGTTCAATGGGAAAACATAATTCAACTCCGATAAAGAGTCATATTCTATTGGTAGAACTGCCCAGAGCTAAAATGAGCTCCCCATCATTCTGGTTTTCAGGTAAAGGCTGGCCAAACCTCCTGAAAGTCTCCTACAATGCAAGACCCCAAATGATACACGAAGTCTTTACAAGGCCCTATACCTCCCCCAGTCCACTCCAATCCCCCTCCTGACCTCACTCCTATTAGTATCCCCATCACTCACTCTACTGAAGCAATTCAGGCCCCTTGAGTTCCGTGAACAGGCCAGGTGAGCGGCCCACTTTACATGTGCTGTTGCTTCATCCCCAGATACCTGAACCTCCTTCAGGCTTCTATGCAAATGCCACTTTCTCAACAGATTCCTCCCTGACCTATTTACTACAAACCGGAACTAAGCTTGACACTCCATATGGGGTTCTCTCCATTTTTCTCCTTAGCACTTATAATACACTACATACTTTTCTTGTTTATTGTCCCCACTAAAGTCCATAAGAGAAAAAGTTTTTATCTGTTTTGTTCACTGCTTTATTCCTAGACCCTAGAAGAACGCTCAGGAAAACACTAAATGAAGAAAGGAATGAGTTTTAAGATGAAACGTCAGCAAGGCAAGTTGAGAATTGAAAAGCATTTTCTGAAGCTATGAGAGGGAATTGGGGGCTTAGCCTTTGGTGGGGAATACTGGGGATTCAGCTGCTGGCAGCATGGGCTGGGAATCAGTTTCTAGTGGGGGATGCCGGGACTCGGTGCCAGGCCTGAGACCCCTAGGCCTCAAGTCTACAGATTTAGATCTGGGCCCAAAACAAAGTGCTCCAACCTAGTCCCACCGGTCCTGGGAGCCAAGTCCGTCATTTCCGTCATCTTCCTGGCACTCTGTGTAACAGGCATTCAGTATTACTGCTTATTGCTCATCTTTCTCCTTTCAAAACTATTTCTCTCAGATAAATAAGAATTGAATAGCAATATCTTTCTTTTTTCTTATGAAATTATCCAAATACCCTTGTAGCTGGCAATCTTGCAACATTTAAAGGACTGTACTCATTCATCTTAGCAAGAGATATGACAAACGTGAATGGCCAGGTAACTTTTATGGAGGGGAGTTTATGAAGTAGTTATTATTCATCAAACCAGAACTTCTTACTGTCCCTTAACAGTAACCAAAAACCAAACCAAACCCGCAGCCTTCAAGTCGATTCTGACTCATAGCAACCCTATAGGATACAGCAGAACGGCCCCATAAGCGTTTCTGGGGAGTGGCTGGTGGACTCGAACTGCCAACCTTTTGGTTAGCAGCTGAGCTCTTAAGCACTGCGCCACTAACCAAAAAAAAAAACCCAAACACATTGCTGTGGAGTTGATTACGACTCATAGCGACCCTACAAGACAGAGCAGAACTGCCTCACAGGGTTTCCAAGGAGCGGCTGGCAGATTTAAACTGCCAACCTTTTGGTTAGCAGCCGGAGCTCTTAACCACTGCACCACCAGGGCTCCCTTGATAGTAAAGCCAGAGGCAAATGTAGTAGAAACAAGTTAAGATACTTTCCTATTGGTTATCATGTTTTCAGTAAGATGTAAAGTTGATACCTCACTCATCCACCATTGAAGAAAGAAGAGCTACTATTACTTGGTGAATTTAGAATGTTCTTACCCTTTTAAACACCAATTCATTTTCCTACTTGACTCAGTCAAGGTTATAAACCTCAGCCTATGCCTTGGGCTGTGACAGATACCCAGATGTGGGTAACACCAGGCTGCTGGCTCTACCCTAAGTAGTCCAAGGCTGTTTTTTCCAAGTTTGGGGTTCTGCTTCTGACAACTGTTCTGCCTTCCCCTTCGTGCTGTCATCCGACAGCCTCTGATGCTGTCTCCATCCTTTTTAATGTATTGTTTATAATTAGCAGAGGGTTGGCAAATCTGACCACAAACTTATGCTCAAGAGGAGGCTCTGAGCATGGGCCTGAGGACCCTTCGCTAACTAAAATGTATGGATTTGAGGTCTCCACCATGTTTGCTTTAGACCCTTTCTGCTTACTTCTGCGGCTGCTGGGCTGAGTTAAAAAACCCTGAATAGAAACTCACCAAAAAGCTGTAATTTTGAAGAAATTTAATAGAACATTATATTGCATACAGGAACCCAAAATCCACTGCCATCGAGTCTATTCCAACTCATAGTGACCCTACAGGGCAGAGTAGAACTGCCCAAAGGGTTTCCAAGGAGCACCTGGTGGATTCAAACTGCTGACCTTTTGGTTAGCAGCCCAATGCTTAACCACTGTGCCACCAGGGTTCCATATAGGAACCAGAATACCCTAAATAAATAAATAAATAAACGAAGGGAGACAGTGTAGTGCAAAACAATCTAAAAATTATGGTTTCCTTGATCCTCTCATTTTTCTGCTTCATTCACAGGCTACAGCTTGTTTTCTGAAAGGCTGACATAAAAGCCCATTATGCCTCTCTCCTCGGACTTTTGAGACTCTTTAATTTATAAAAAACTAGAATCCTAAGAGCAGAAGACATATTATCTGCATTCTAAACAGTCTTTATGCGGGTGACACTGTAACAAATATATCTCCCTACCACAGTCTAAAAAGCTCACACCACTGAGAGAAAACACAAGCTCATAAGCAGTACTATAGCAAGTGCCTTAAAAATTTTATGAACCCCAAAATAAAAGTGCTCTATCACAGACAAATTAAATTTGGGTGCAACTTAAATTACATCTATTGGCTTTTAGCTGAGGCATTAAAAATGTGGTACAAAAATGCTTCTAATGAAACCATTAAGAGTAATATGCATTGCTCCACCTGCTACAATTAGGAACAAAATTATCGTCTCAGATACAAGCCCTCTATCCTACAAAATGCTTATATTCTTTCCCAAGGGATCTCCAAGTCACTTATGACATCTACTTGGAAAATATTCTGCAATAGTGTTATTTCTCAGTTACCTGGAAGGCCAGTAATATATTTGACGCAATTTTCAGAGTAATCATTCTATATATAATTTACAAATGTTTGATCCTGTTCCTGTCTCCTTAAAGAACCAGAAATTTGTCAGATGATTAGCTACAAGTGGCAAACCATGTATTAATGGACATAAGGTACTCAGAAATCTGGAGGTGTTTCTGTTTTGAACACCTTAAATTTGCAAGTTCCATTCATTTGATGTTCTTAACTTTTCTCAAATTCTCCTCGTCATCTAAAAAGGTAAATATAGTGGCATCCAAATAGGAATACAAGCAATTAAGCTCTTTAGGATTTTGTTTTATTATACTCTGAATTTAGAAGAGATGACTTTTTGGAAATATACTACATTTTCAAAAAAATACTACCCCTACTTGCTAACATGCTAAAGCCAGAGGCATCAAAAACCTGACAGAGAATATGTTGAATATGTTGCCAAAATACACAAGCTGTAGTTACAGAAATTAACATATTACCTTTTTCCAAGTGGCAAAGTATTTCTAGAAAAGTAAGAACACTCACACTCCACCAAGCCTCAAAAATAAGCCTATTCCATAGGGAGAGACCCACAACCAATCCTAGGGCAGAGCTCAGGAAACCTGTTTCAGGAGGTTCCTGCCTCTCCTCTGCCCAAGTGTTTGACCATGAGCAAGTCACTTGCCCTCACTGGACCTCAGCTTTCTCTCATGCAGAATCTCTAAGGTCCTTTCCAGCTCTAAGTTTTTAAGATCCATGTTCTCCTCATAGCAGCAGACTCTTGCTTATTTTTAAGGCACTTCAAAGCACGTCCCCCATGTGCATGCTATATCTGATCAATTTATAAGAGACTCTAACATGTGACTACAGGGTGTACAGGCCTGTATACTACACAGTATACACAACAACAACAATTTCAAATCTTGTTCACTAATTTCTAATAATTCTGGAAACTTTAAGATACCAATTAAAACATTGTTAAGTCTAAGATGAACAATGAAATTTCATGGGGATACTAAGTTCGATAATCTTCGGAAGTACTCAAGTATCCATACACTAAGGATCACAATGGGTCTTATACCTTCTAGCCTTCTCTGTCCTGACATTTGACAGGACTCACCCAGGCCTTGCAGTGAAGAAAGGGTCCCATACCTACCATGCCACTTGCCCTTATAAACAGTGCCAAACGATCCTGACCCAATCCGGGTGGAGAGCATCACTTCACTGGCTTCTATTTCCCAGTAATAGCTTGAATCTCTCTGTCCACGAGACCTCTGAAACAAGGAAAGATCATTAATATACTCCATGGAATGGTAAAGGTCTATTCAATGAGAGAATCAAAAGATCTACCTCCTCCACTCTCCTGTCTTTTAAAGACAGACATATTAACCATAATTTCAATTTTTGTCTTTTGAGAAAATGCTTCTAACTCTAACATGTGCCATGTTAGTTGTGCCCCACCTTATATGACAGCAAACTGCCAAGTTGTCCAACACAGGTATGCCAAAAATGGCACTAACATTTATAATCTCCTTCATTCAGCGCATTTTAGAGTCATCTCCCAAACTAATTTAAAAGCATTCTAATTTCCAACTAGGTTTTTCTTATTGAACCCTAACCTAGAGGAGGTACTGGTGGCCATACTCACAATTTTGTTTTTCTCCTGGGTCCCAGATCCTGGCGCCCGCTCTCTCTGTGCCGGCACAGGGGTTCTGGGCTGTGACCAGCCCGTTGGGCTCAAATTGTTGGGACTGCTGGACAGGGCTGAAGGTGAGGCTTAACAGACAAGACAAAACAGAATCCACACATGCATAAACCAAAAGAAGATACATAGCATAAAGAGAAAAAGCCCATTACTACTTGCTACTTGATTATAGACAAGTACCTGATTCGCTGTGACTTCGAATTGCATCCTGAAATAGAAAAGGAAAGCTGGTCAACTTCTATACTAGAAAAGATTTTCTTTGGGGAAGGGAAAGATGGGGAGGAGGATTTGCAGGAACAAAGTAGATGATAAAACCTCTAAAATATAAAAGGTCTAATTATATACTCTAATCAACTTTCCTTTGATTAAATTCACCAAATGTCAGTGGCCAATATCTCCAAAATTGTTTTCATCAATTATTAAGAGGATTGATATTAATTTTTCATATATAATAGAAAACACATTCTTTTTCTCAGCAGAATACAATGGGCATAGCAAACTGATAGTCTTTCAATAAGGCTAGCAAATTTACTATCAGTTGAGATCCTTCAAAGATTGGAGGTTTTGCTCCATTAAAGCTCAAAAAAAAAAAGTGGGATTAGGTGGAAAGCTCACTCATACTCCAGTAGGAGTTCAGGGCACATCAACCAGAAGTTGGATTTGATAAAAGGAAGTACCATGACTACATATTTTATCCAAGTCTAAAATCACGGAAAGCTGGAAGACCATAACTCCTCTAGTCCAAAATCTACATTTTACATATAAGAAAATACATGTGAATCAGTCAAGAGACTTGGCCAGGGTCACATGGCCAGTAGATGGCAGGAAGAGAACTAGACACCACCACCCATGGCTCCCAGCCCAGAGCCTTTCCACCACAAAATGCTGCCATACACATTATAGAGAAGCTCTGAAAGTAGTTACATTTTACTCATGTGAGAAGTCAAAAGTCCACCCTTAAATTTTAGAAACTGTTTGGGGAACAATTTAAATCACAGGGGCCTCCACAGACCTCAAGCTTACTTTTTAAATCTTCACTTAGGGTAGAACTTATAATAGACTAATATACTGTAAAACCACTTGGCCCCCATATCCTCAAAAAGGATATTTTTCTGGGGATCCCTACTCCGTTTTCTTTGTGTAACCGCAGTAAAGATATGATAATTTTCTCATACAACTATCAGTGGAATGTCCCCACTAAGTGATATTTTACAAGATAAAAAGAATCATAAACCAAGCTGCTCTACTCCCTTCTTGGGCAACCCTGCCCAAGCATCTTCAGAGTTTATCCATAAAGGCCGGTTCTGGGGGTCCCAACTTGGCTAGCCTTCAGAATCACCTGTGAAGGTGCTTAAGAAAACAGATTTCCAACTACCCCCTCCCCAACTAGGATTGATCATGTCTGAAGAGTGGAAGGAAGGAAGCCCAGGAATCTGTATTTCTTTTAAGCGCAGGATGACTGGCCAGGTAGGAAGACAATGGCCAAAAATAATTTTAATTTCAAATGAATATTCAGCAGATACAGTTTCATTATCCAACTAATCTATTATTTGTTTTCAGTTAAAAAAAAAAAGGTCACAATTGTATTTTTATGACCATAATTATATTCTCATGCACTAGGATCTTTTTAATATCATAGTATTTTCTTTCCCTGCATCCAATATACACCTTGTATTTTATTCTGTGCTAATTTCAACAACTTGATTGATTTATCTTAAAAGGAATTTTCCTGTCATCCTGCAATCTAAACATTAGTCAAAGAAGTACAAATGGTTTAAACAAAGCAACAACATGGACTTTAAAAATGCTGGATTGTACATGATAAAAAATAACTGAAATAAAAATTTATTCTGTTTCTAAAATATAGGGAGGATTAAGCACAACAGTTGTGATACTTATTTTATAATAAAAATTCAAGAATTTTCACTGTGAATGTTCCCTCTAAGTATTAGAGTGCTTACACAGGAACAGATCATGTAACAGAAGAAAAGTAACTGGCATATTATTTTATTACTGTAAGGGTTAATCAAAATAAAACAAAAATAATAAAATTCACACATGACCTTCTCACAATCACCGTGTGATAGGCAAAGTGCCCTCATAAGAACCAGTTTAGGGCCCATATTTAGATACATGCAGAAGCCCACTTTTTTGTTCAGTCCCTGCCACCTCTGATTAGTAGGACAGGCACAGTAAAACCTGCTAATGCCAGAACCTGTGTGAGGTAGAAACCTTCAGAGAAGGAAAACTCAAATATTTTCCACTAAAACGAGTGACAGAAAAGTGGTAAGACTGTCAAAGGCGGAAAACTTGCAAGACATGGTAAAACAAGGCAGTCCTGTCGAGTTACAGCTCTCACAGGTTTCCCTGTATATCAAAAGTGATTTGAGGTCCAAGTGAGATAAACTGTGCCTATGGTAACAGGTGTCCCTGAGGTTTATCAAGGAACAATTTTTGATGTAGAGACAGCACAGTTATCTCTAACTTTTAATAATGGATATACCAGAGCATATAAACCAAACTGATGAATAGAATATTAATGATGTGAGTACCAATTAAATAAGTCTAACATTTACTCTTTGGTTGGAATTGATTTTTTTTTTAAAAAACAAACTTTTTAATGTCATTAGCCTCAAAACTTCACTTGAGAAATTTACTCTATCAGCATTAACACATACAATCTTTTACTCCCGTGTTGGAAATGTTAAATACACTCTACTGCCAAAAAAGAAAACATGGAAACCAGTCTGATAAGAAATATAAAATTTAAATTAGCAATTATTTCATTTTTGATAGTCTACTGTCTGACACTCTTAGCAATCCTGTTAATTACAAGAACGCAAAGGCATGAAGAATAATACCTACTCTTCCCCTCAAACAAAATCGTCTGGACCACGCCCTGGGAGAAGCATTCAGGCTGTTATTCTAGTCCAAAGCAATGAGAAATAAAGAAGAATAAAGAACAAAGGAAGTATTTTAAGTGTATTAAGTTGTTATTAAAGATGAACTAGAAAGCAAACCAAACAAATAGAACATACCAAAAAGCTGAGAAAAGAAAAAGCAGTTTGAGAACACTAGCTTTGGGTACTTCTACATCTCCCTAAATACCTACTTATTAAAATTCTATGACTCTACCCTTTTATTTCTAAATAAAATCACTTAAAAGTCTTCCGGAGTTTGCAGTTCTCCATCACTATTTTTTTCTTTCCCACACCAAAAGGATACTATTCTTTATCTCATTCTAACTCACAGAAATCCTATTCAAATCTGACATGGAAAAATGAATTCAAATGTTAACATTTCTTCAGAAAACTTTAGTTCTCCACCTGAATGATATACCAATTGGATTACTCTGCCAGTTTAAAGATGTTACAAATAAAAAAGAAATTAAAAAAGTTCAGGGGCCTGAGAAAGTGCCACAACATTCCTGATGAGGTCTGAAACCCAAAACTCTCTGACAACAGTCAGCCCCACCCACAATAACTGACTAATTCATCACCAACCACAACAGTTTACCCCAAGGGGCCCTATTACCTCTATCACCCTGCTGTCCACAGGCAGGGTGGTGCTGACCATGTGGACATTAGGCGTGGATGTCGACCTCTGCCTCTGGGACAGTGAACCCTCTGAGGAGGGGCTGGAAGTGTTGAACGTGAAGGCGTGGGGTGTGGAGTATCTGTGCTGGGAACTAGGCGAGGAGAAAGAAAATCCCATAAGTGGCACTCAGGCCTCCCCACTGATAGTCTCTCTACTACCTACTTCATTCAGATACCCAGGGGCAAACTCTACCCATACCACAGTTTTTGACAGTTTTCCATATGCACCATTTAAAAATTCTCTGGTTTAAGTGCTCTTGCATGCAAATTTTTGAAAAGGAACTAATAATACATGTGCTTTGAATTCATGTGAAAAGTAGAGTAATACATCATAAGTTTTTCTTTTTAATAAATCACCTCTATAGAATACTCCAAATTTTTATACATCTCTGGGGAAGAATGGATTAGCATGTGCAAACTACACCATCACTTACTAATAAGCCAGGTGGAACCTGCCCAGCTTAATTTAGAGACTAAATCAGAGAACTTTAAGGAAGAATTTTAACAGGTCAGGATTTTACCCACTGTGTCTCCTCTCCGCCTGCCCTCCCTGCAAACCAGCTCACAAAGTAAATTAATATGAATTCCATTTTTAGGTTGCATATCAAATTGTAAAATTAATCACTGGCCTCTTTGCAGCCACCGCCACACCACGCCCCCACCAACCAAACTGGGAACACACACTAAGAAGTGTAACATTTTCACTATTTACTCTAAAGATTAGTTGGAACTTTGTTCAGATTAAAATAATACCACGACACCAATTCAAAAGATAGAGAAGGCTAGTTTTCCTAAGGGAAATTGCTATATTGCCTTGAAAAACTGCCTTCCTACATATTTCAATGTTTATACCCTCAGAGGCTTCATTTCTTCTCTGAAATTCCAAGGGGTTTCATGTATATAGCCATTATCTTCAGAGGCAAGTTTAATCTTTTTTGTCATATTTGCTTTTCAAATTATCAAAAAATAAAAATCATACACAAATATATATACAAATATCATTTCAATACAAATTCCTTATTCTGAGTTATGGTGTTTAACAATTTCCAAGACCATCAATATGATTACACATATATTAACGTCAGATATTTTGGATGGACAAAGACCTAGATTTTATTTTAGGTTCCAAATCCATGGTAACACTGAACAAATCATGTGAACTCAACAAAATTCTGATTTTAAAGCTGGATAACAAAGACAAATTATGAACAAACTCATAGGCACATTAGAAAGGATATTTGTATTGAAAATCTAATTAGATTCTTTTAAAAACTAGCACTCTATTAAATACTATAGTTTTAGCAATGCCAGGACATAATCAGCATTTCAAATTTGAGGGTTTTATTTTTCTTGAATCACTGTATACAGTTTCAGAACCCTTTCCACTGAGGTTCAACTTACTACTTATTGAGGAAGGCAAGATCTCAAGTTCTTTACACTGTGATGAGATATTATAAAGTGACCTGCTATTATAACAGCAGGAGCTGTTAAGAGTCACTTTCCAGAGTGTGAGAAGTACCGAACCACTAAGAGAAAAGTTATACATTCTAGCCAGAACACCAAATCCCTATCTCTGGAATATCAACTTCCACAGAAGTAGCAAAAAGCACAAAGGGATGCAAATGAATTCTTGGTGTTTTGTACCAGCCTTCTAGCCCTATTCCCCCATAAAAGAAAAACTATAGGTTAAAAATTACCTAACAGGCATCCGGGAAACAGACTCTCGCATCCGACGCATTGTCAAAGAAGGTAGTGCCGGGACCCCACTATCACCGACAGTGGAATTTGGAAATAACCTAAATGAAATCAGGGAAAGACTGGTTTATAGACTTGCAGTAATTTTACAAAGTGATGTAAGGTCCAGTTTGCCCTGCCTCTTACAAACTCATAGCTACTCAAACTGAACTTTCCCAGTCACATTTTCCTCTGCCATTTAAGCTTCCTAGAGTAAAAGGAGAAGGAATGCTGGTGGGGCAGTGGTTAAGCACTAGGCTGCTTACCGAAAGGTCAGAGGTTTGAATCCACCAGCAGTTTGTGGGAGAAAGATGTGGCAGTCTGCTTCCGTAAAGCTTTACAGCCTTGGAAACCCTATGGGGCAGTTCTACTCTGTCCTACAGGGTCACTATGAGTTGAAATTGACTCGACGGCAAGGGGTTTGGTTTTGGTTTAGAGTAAAGGGACCACCAATCCAAATGATTGGGTCTGAACTGGGTTAGAATATTTGTTAAAAATTCTACAGAATGTGAATAGAACTGACTTGCCAATGAACATACAGACTCCAACCTGCATTTTTAGGGAATACTAGTAATATCAGTGATCCAACATCCAGCTATATCAAAATAATGCTTTTTTAAGCTATATTAGGGCGTTTTATAACCAAGATCACATAGAGCTTTCCTGTAAACATTTTGTCTTGGAAACATAGATGAAAAGCTAAAATGTTAAGAAGAAGTCATTTTCAGCATCAGAAGCCATAAATAAGAAAAAAGTGATATTAACATTAACTGGACACTTTCCTTCCATGAGCTGGGCACTTGGATTTAGCAATTTCACACATTATGGTTAATCCTCAGAACACTGCAAGGAAGTAATATCCCCCTTTTCAGATACGAAAACTGAGGCTCAGAGAAGATTACAGCTAGTTTAATGACAGAGCTGAGATTCTGGCCCATGTCTGTTGGGCTCCAAAGCCTGTGTCATTTATGCCACAAAGGCACCATTTGCAAAAGCAACATATGACTCCCATGAAAACAGAAAAGATGTTCTCATCGTGGTTTAATGATAACACTGGCTTAGTTTTCCTAGTACCCTCAAAAAAGGGTAAAGATTTGACTTTGGTTTAAGAGACACATTAGACATTTTTATTTAAACCTTACTAACAAAGAAACAGATATCCATCTACATGAAATATATTTCGATAACTGGTTTGTCTTCTGAAGAATACAAGTATCTTTTAAAATTTTTACATTCAAATCATTTGAAGTCCAAACAATGTTTTCTCCAGTTTGAGGTAAAGAAAATAGCACAAACTATGCTTTCTGCTTCCTCTCAATGTCAAAGGCCTGTTCATTATATTTAACAGAATATACAGCGGTGTATACTAGGCAACCTAGTAGATGATACTGTTGAGAGAAAAAACAAGTCTTTTCTCTTTCTGCGCCCGTTTATTCTTCTTCTGACTGATTTATACTATGTCAATCTCTATTTGATAGATGAATAGGTCCTACATGCTTATTTTAGAGAGTTATAATTGCGATACCACCTCGCTAGTTTCAGAACTGTCATGTTTGTAATGCAGAATGGTTTCCAGTTCACAGGATCTGAAACCCATGTCTGTCGGTCAAAATATACAATAAGCACCTTCAAAGGTGTTTGTACTTTCCCCCCTCTATGTTCTCTGGTAAAAAGAATGATGCCTTACAACAGCTGTCTGATATTACTCCAGTCCACACACATAGTAGGTACTTTGGTGCTACAGTGCTCATGAAATTTGTAGCCACAAGTCTGACATCGAAACCCATTTAGCAGAAACTTCTGACAGATGTCACAGAAGGCAAGCTTCAGGAACGTCTTCCGAGCCTAGAACAATAAGAACATGGGTGTAAAATAGTGCTGAATAAATGAAAGATAACAAAAGACAAAATAATTTCCTCCTTGGTCACCAAACGAGTTTTTACAGAATGAAGAATCATACGACCAACATTTACAAAATTTGTTAACTTGAAAGTATATCTCTAATTCTAAATTGCCTTACAGTAAACAATGGCACAACTAGAGCTTTAAACAATCCAACAATATATATGTTTATTACCTCTGAGAAATTCCTATTATGCCAACCAAAGCACCCAAAGAGGGAAAAGATGTGCAACTTACAAAGTTGTGTGTTGTGAGGGGAACATGATCCAGGAAATCTACTTGAAGCTCTTCTCCAATCAAAGAGGCAGCATCAGTATTCCAATCTAAACGTGCTTTTTTACTAAAATGGATTTTAAAAATCATAATAAGAAAAGGAAATACTTAAACAAGGTAAGAGAGTTCAATACTAGTAATAAGAATAGCTACCATTTATTGCATCCTTATATACACACACAGTGCAAAGTATTTACACTGTTTTAATCCTCACAACAAGCCATGCAGTATTATTATCCCCATCTTAATGAGACAAATGGGACTCATAAGAAGGTAACTTACTCAAAGCCACACAGTGAGTGTCAGGGCCTATGTCTGACTCCAGGCCTGCTGGAATCCAAAGCTTGTGCTCAATCCAAACTTGGTGGGTTTTTTTTTGAACAATGAAATATCACAATCTCATGATAAACTAAATATATAATAAATTTAATTTTGTGACATTAAAATACTATAAAAATCCTAAAATGCTATAAAATGGGTCATAAATACTGCCATGGTACTAAAATTTAAGTCTTCACTAGCCTACTTCAATCTAGAAGATATACACAAATAGAAAAGAATCAGAGATGGAATACACTTTTCTATTAATAAATTCTGGCTCAAATCTGCAGAGTTGTTCGCAGGGTCTATCAATATTAAGCTGATGGCAGAATGCAAACTGATTAAACCGTTTCTAAAACTGTCTTAAAATTTACTGAAACCTCTCTTTGTATCTAAAGTAAATAATACAGACAGATCTACTGAAGTAAAAATTAATGCCCAGCTCCTTTCTTATGTCTTTTCCAGGTAATCTGGCCCATTACCTGAAGGAAGAATTTTCTCGGGTCAGAAGAGAATAACACATACATGATGTTGTTGCTGTTAGGTGCCGTCGAGTCGGTTCTGACTCATAGCGACCCTATGTACAACAGAACGAAACACTGTCCGGTCCTGTGCCATCCCCATAATCGTTGCTATGTTTGAGCCCACTGTTGCAGCCAGCGTCAATCCAACTCATCAAGGGTATCCCTCTTTTTTTTGCTGGTGCTCTACTTTAACAAGCATGATGTCTTTCTCCAGGGACTGGTTTCTCCTGATAACATGTCCAAAGTAAGCAAGAATAAATCTCACCATCTCCCTTCTAAGAAGCATTCTAGCTGTGCTTCTCCCAAGACAAATTTGTTTTTCTGGCAGTCCATGGTATATTCAATATTCTTCACACACAGCACAAAACTTCTCCCATCGCCTAAGAGAAGCCTATTCCAGCTATTTTTTCCTGGTTATCCAATAGCAAATATTCCATCTCTTAATGTAATTCCCTATAGGAGGTCTGGGAAACCCCACATCACTCCAAAGTTCTATTCTACCCTAATAAAGAGAGAGGGGAGGTTTCCTCATTAGTGTTCAGGAGCACTCTGTCCTAGAGAGAACCCAGGGTTGCTCCAACCAATGCAGACTTGGACCACAGTAGATCAAGCCCCTCTGTCTCAGAATTTCTCTAGTCCTTAAGAAGCATCAGAGATTGGCCTAGGAACCAATCTGGGACCACAACCAGCTAAAGCTGACATCTGTTTCAAAGGTTTGCTTTTTAAATAACTGCGTCCTAAACTGAGAAGAACACATTTATGCTCACCCCTTTGAGTAGACTCATTCTGGGTTATTCTCTTAAACTGGAGAACTCCTAGAACCATCTCCAGAACCGTGAAAGATTTAAGCTGAATGTCAACAGGCGGAAGTGTCACTTTCCAAGAAGAGGGTTAAAAGAACTGCCTAAAAGGTTTCCCCAGATTTTAGGGGAATAATAATGGATAACGATAGACAGCTCTGCATCTTCGCAGTATTATTCCAAGCCTTTGAGAGGATACCTTTATCTTGCCATTACCATCAGAAACAAGATGAACTATGGATCTTCCCTGAAGCAGAAATTCTCCAGCAATTTTAGCTCTATCTGTCAAACAGCAGGAATTCAGTAAACATTAAGCTGAATAAAAATGAATGAATGAATACAAGATCATAAAATCTCCTGAAGATACGGTTCTTTAACTATAAAATAATGCAACACTTTCTGAATACCTAACTCATAGCAAAAACAAAGAAAAATATTTTCTCTCAAGAAACATACTATCTGACATTATTGATTCCATCCATGGAAACACTATCAACACCTATCATGTTATTTTTCAACAGAATGTCTAAGCAATAATTTCAAGTTCTTGGTATCTTATTTTTTGGAATTGTCTCTTTATAAACAAGGGTATATAAAATACAAATATACAATATTCTACAGGAAGTTATACAATTTTTTACAAATGAAAACAGTTATTATTTGAAGCTAGGAGGTCCTTCGTAGTATGAAGGAGGTGCTGACTGCCTTTGAGTTCTTACCCTTTGTGTTCATGGAGAAGTCGGAACACTGCACAGCACTCTGGTTGCAAGCCCCTCACTTTGAGGGCTTTCATAAGGCAGTCGTGCAAGCTCATTCCATTTCGCACATTGACCTACAAACAAAGGACCACCTTTAAAACCAAACACAGACTGCAGTTCCCCTTGGAAAGGTGAGCCAGGGAAATAAATGAAACAGTCTGTTGTGTTTATGTAGAAGAATATTTATGACAGCATTGCTTATAATGGTAAACACACGCGTAGGTGCACGTGCACACACACAACAATCTAAAATGTAGGTAAGTGTTTAAATAAAGTATGGAACATCCGTATTATGTCACATTATGCAGCTACTACATTATTATAATGAATTATTGTAAACACCCTAGAGGGGTATTCACGATGTATTAAATGGAGAAAAATATTTTGCAGACTAATTCAAAGTGTTGATTATTAAAAAGGGGGAGGGGGTGCCTACACATTATATGTTTACATATGTCATACGGGTGTGGAAAGATATACACCAAGCTGTTAATATCAAGAAGTAATGGTTGGGAGAGAGAAAATGATTAACTTTCCCTTTATGTATCTTTGGAAACCCTGGTGGTGTAGTGGTTAAGTGCTACAGCTGCTAATCAAAAGGTCAGCAGTTCAGGTCCACCAGGAACTCCTTGGAAACTCTATGGGGCAGTTCTACTCTGTCCTATAGGGTCGCTATGAGCTGGAATCCACTCGACAGCAATGGGTTTATATACCTTTAATTTGTTTGACTTACTGAAATGTACAAGCAAACATGAACACCCACTAGAAAGAATAAGTAAGCCAATCTGATCTATAAACAAACATGAATTTTTCTGATCAAAAATTTGTATTTCAACCTATTTTCAACAAAATAGTTGACCTTTCTAAGAAAAACTCCATCTTACATGCACTCCACACTAGTGAAGGCAAGCAGGAAGTGGAGGAAATAGAGCTTCTGCCCTGCTGTGAGGGACAAACACCAACGCTAGTTTAAATGAATGTGCACACCATACATGGTAGCCTGAGCAGGATAGGCCGTATACCCAACCTTCAAAAGCTAGGCAGGCATTTGGAGGTCTAGTGGGAGGCGTGAGTGCCCAGGGTGCTATTTATGGCAGCTGTGTAAAAATTTCAACAAAAATCTTGAGTTTTGATTAAAACTCTGTACATTTTGTTTTTGAAAACAAAACCAATAAAAGCCAATAAAGTTAATAAAAGTAAGGCCACCAGAGTCAGTCCCGACAGCAAACAGAGCACAGTGTATGGTAGATTTGCAGTGCCTGTAAACTAAGGCGGAATTTTCTCCTGGCTGAAAGTTTAACAGCTGACAATGGCCACCCCAGGCTCCTCCCAGAGGGAGGTGAGTGTATGTGCGTATACTGGCGAATAGAGGAAAGCAAAGTGGGGCACCAAAGGCCCAAAGTGCTCTTTATCCTGCCAGCTCAATGCTCTTCCAAGTCAATCTTTCTCTGGTTGGCTCTGTTGTTGTTGGTTGTCGTCTAGTCAACTCCAACTCATGGCATGTTATGTAGAACTATGCTCCATAGGGTTTTCGTAAAGCAGATCACCAGGCCTGTCTTCTGAAGTGCCTCTGGGTGGGTTCAAATCACCAAGCTTCAGTCTTAAGAAACATGAGAGAGGTTTGTGGACCAGCCTCTTACTAGCCCCAAAACGGAGCACAGTATTTGAACACAAATTCAGAGGTAACAAAACCATCTGGGAGGGGAGGGAGTAAAAGTACACCTAAGGAATTCAGAAAAACATCAGCAGGGAGTGACTTAAGAAGCTTTTAACAAGGCTGTATTTTGCCGTTATCAGCAACTAATAGGGACATATCTGCCCAACAATCAATCTTTGTGAAATAAAATTAAAAACAGATATTTTACTTTGATTTCAAGGGGTTTCTCTTACCATGAGCCTTTAAAAAAAAACAAACCTGACCCAAAACTCCTAATCTTGACTGCAGCTTTGTTAACTTGTTTTTTGCCCAAAACTGCTAAACTACTTCCAGCATTGTTAACTTTCTCATATCAGCTTAAAGAGTATTAATAACAAGGAAACTGAGGACCAGCGTGACAGTGATTAAGTCTTTGCAACCCCCCTTTTGTGACAAAGACATTTGTTGATCATAAACTAGCTCAGAGTTTATCTAATGCAAAGAATGTAACTTTCGGTAATTTCCCTTCCCTCCTGAGAGATAATCCTTGCAACTGGAATTCCCTGAACATAATTGAAGTACTTTTTATTATTTTAAAACCTCCAGACTATACCTGAAAGATTTCTGCAAATGAAGCTCCCCCACCCCCCACCCCCAGACCACCTAGTAACCTGATGCCAGCTGATCTCACTAAGGGGTGGGGGCATGGTTCAATAAACCAATGATTGGTTTTCTATTCTACTCACCCCTCTTCTCTTTAAAAGCTACACTGTAACTAGCCTACATTAAGACATTTGTTTTTTAGAAACAAAATGGTCTCCTTATATGCATGTAGAGTAACTGCTCAAATAAACCCTATGTTTTAATTTCCTTGTGTTTTGATTATTTTTTAACACTCTGAAGCATAAAGACGGGCTTCACATTAAGAGAGGACACTATACAAAAATATGAACTTGTAGAAAAGATAAACTCAGGAGGCAACGGGAGTGAAGGATGAACATTCTCCTGAAGAACCACCTGGGAGAAAAGAAAGGTTTTTATTTCCCCCAAACTATAAAATCTCCTTCAGAAATTCTGATAGTCACCCTCTGTTACTAATGGTTTGTCCTCTCCTTCAGAAGACTGTGAAAAATAAAGTAGGAGGGGCCCAACTGATTCTTCTAATAGATAAAAGATTTATCACAGGAAGTCTCTGAGAAAAGGAACTGCGGAGCAAGGGGAGGGGTGACCTGATACTTCTGACCTATATAAATGCATTATCTATTAAAAAATAATAAAATTAACATTCTTTATAAGTTTCTTGTACATAACGAAATATTTAAGATAAAATGATATCTGGAATTTGTGACAAAATAATTGGAAAAGAGTAGATGAAAATACAGATTAAACAAGACTGTCATCATGAGCTAATTGTTGAAACTGGGTGGTAGGTTCATCAGATTCATTATTCTAATCTCTCTACTTCTGTGATGATTTAAATTTCTCCATAATAAGCTTACTTTAAAGGTTTTTTTCGAAGCAGCGACACCCTTAGAAAGATCTCACTAACTTCTAACTTTTCAGAAACAACTAAGTGCAATGCACTTACAGTGATCTGAACTGTGAAGATAAAACAAGAAAAACGAAAAGTAATAAAACACAACACTAACAGAATTATGATTTGCATCAAAACTGTGCAGCAGTGCTTTGAAAACTGTAAAGTGGTATCTATATTACATCATCAATCTTCATTATAAGTCCCAGACTTAAGAGCTAGACAGCTCTTTAAATATCCTCTAATCAAGTGGTTCTTAAATGTGGCTGGCATTAGAATCGTCCAACGAGCTTGTGAAAATATGGATTCCTAGCTGCCCCACTCCAACATACCCATGGATTCTGATTCAGCTGATCTTGAATGAAGCTCAGGAATCTGTATTTTAACCTGCTTTGCCAGGTGATTGTAATGACTGATAGTGGTTCTCAGCTCTGGTCCAATCATTCATCCGATAATAACAATGATAATAAATTAGCCAAAGAGGCACATATGTTTAGAAAACAGAATGACAAAAACATTGGAAAAAAAACAAGACATGACTAATTATTACTTCTAAAATTATTTAAATCAGATACACATCCTCTTCTCTTCTCCACAACCTCAAATGGATACATGATGAAAATCAGTTAAACTTAAATAATTTCTAGAGCCCAGTACATGATTATGAAAGCCATCCTGGGTTCTAGAACTGAAGCAACCTAGGGATGAGTAGAGACAAGCTGGTTGACAAATGGTGCTGGCCTGGCAAGTGATTCCTTCCTGTTTCATTCCTCCCCTGAAGGTGGGTGCCTGGTTCTTCTAGAGACAGACGGTCCATCTTTGGCCAAAGAAATAGGAGAAACTAACCTTGTCTGCTAGAACCTCCTCATAAACTGAAGGAGAAGTCAAGATTCAAAATCACTGGTACCAGCTACCAGCTGGGCAAGTGTAGCAAAAAATCCTCAAAAACAATTTTACTTAGCAATCGGCCATTACACTAAACACGAGTCTTATAAGATTGGGAAAAAGAGGCTCAAAATATAATGCACCTTGTCTAGATGATATAGTTAATAGGCAAAGCAGGGATTTAAATTCAGGTCAGGTTGTCTTAAAAGTTCATAAACTTAATCACTATGCAAACCCCCCAACCTTCCAGGAAAATGAGGAGTAGATGGGGATGGGGAAGAATTTTTCTGACAGGCAAAAAAACAACCCTTCCCTAACCTCAGCAACAGCAGTCATCATGACAGCCACAGTGACACCCAGAATAAACACTAGATGGTCTTCAGTTTCCCATCACATTCCCACTTCCTACCAGGGTTTCCAATTAAGGTTAAGAATAAAATTGAGAAACAGTAAGTAAAACTCACTTTGTAAACTACAGACCACTATTCAAAGATTTAAAAACAAAAACAAACCCGTTGCCATCGAGTTGATTCCAACTCAGAGCGATCCTGTAGGACAGAGTAGAACTGCCCCATAGGGTTTCCAAGGAGTACCTGGTGGATTTCAACTGCCAACCTTTTGGTTAGCGTTGAACTCTTAACCACTATGCCACCAGGGTTTCCACTATTCAAATATAGAGGATTATTACTAATTATTTTGCCAGCCATAAAATTTTCATCTTTAGGAAGAGGATCAAAAAGAAATTTGTTACTGTTAGTTGCCGTTGAGTCGATTCCAACTCATGCTGACCCCATGTGTGCAGAGTAGAGCTGTTCCATAGAGTATTCAAGGCTGACCTTTCAGAAGCAGATCACCAGGCCTGTCTTCTGAGGTGCCTCTGGGTAGGTTCAAAACACCAACCTTCTGGTTAGTAGTTGAGCACTTAACCGTTTGTGCCACCCAGGGTTTCCTAAAAGAGACTTACTCAAAATTTAATTGGCCTTCCGAGTTTCACCTTAGTTCAAAATGCACCAAATATCCAATAGTATAACTGGGAGGCCCTGTAGGTTCACAAATGTATAAAGGAATTTATTAGCAAACTGGAGAAAGTGGAACTATTAGAAGCAAACTGGACTTCCTAACCTAGGATATGCTTCACCTGGGTATACAGGATAAACACAAGTTATTGATTTTACACAAAGAATGGAGGGAGGAGGCACAGAAGTGTTGAGCTAAAGTTTTCTCAAATGTTTGAGCAAGCAAAATCGGTACAATTTCACTTTTCTGTTTTCTGTTTCAGCCAAGTGGGCCCCTCCCTGCCCCCCAGGATAATAGAAAACTTCTTTTGAGCAGTAAGTTCTTGCAAAATATTGAGTTTTGTGTCGGAAAACCCTGTAGCTGTGTCCTGCCACGATGCCAACATAAACCTGTCGCTGGTACAGCAAAAACAGACTATTCTAAAATAACTGGTTGGTAGCAGTGTCCTGGAGAAGAGGAAAAAAATATGATTTCTAAGCTACTTCCAGCCTTTCCCTGGCCTAAGAAATATATCAAAACAATAATTCAGAAGAAAATAATAAATATATATATACACACACACATATATATATTTTAAGATCTAAGGGAGCTTTTTAAAAAAAAAAAAGTCTTTGATATATACCCCCCTGAGAATGTATTATTTGTTTGAATAAAGTGGCAGAAAGGAAGATATTCTAGCCAAAAGTAATAACAGAAGGCTAAAAGGTGGGAAAAAGTAAAGGGCGTGGATGGAACACAACATATAAAGCAATGAAATCTGCAATTGTAAAGCCAATTAATAAAGACCCTAAATGCCAATGAAGATTTTTCTTGCCTATAAGGTGATCAACATGGTCCATAATGTTTTCTATAGGCAACTGCATAGCTAAAATTTTCTAGGAGGCAATGTTTACGTACCACTGTTCTTTGCTTGTTTGGCAAGAAAACTCGGATAGTATTGCTTGTCTTAGAAGAATCTGTGAGTTTGCCATCATCTGACGCCCGGCGCTGATAGCCAAACTGCTGAACTATTGTAGGGGAGATGCAGCTGGAGCCATCAAACACCGCGTCTTTGAATCCAAAACCATTGCTGATCGTCTTCCAGGCCCCCTGTATGTGCTCCATTGATGCAGCTTAAACAAAAATTAAACCTGGCAAGAAAGACAAATAATTATAATTCTAGCACAAAAGCAATTAACCCAATAACACAATATAAAGAGTAATTGTGAAAATATTATTTTTTGTGTATAACTTGTTTAAATAAGTTAACCAGAAAAGAAAACTTGTATATTAGTATATTACCATAAAATATTTCATAGACAACTCAAAGAGTAAAATGAGAACCACAGGCCAAAAGACTTATCAAGGGTTATACTGACAGTTAAAAGCCAATCTGGAACATGAGCCCAGGTATCCTGACTTCCAAGTCTAATACTTTTTCAAATGCATCTCTTTTCTTCTTTTGTTACTGTATGTTAAGTATGAATAACTACCTTTGAGAATGAGCAACATATTTATTAGTACTATGAGAAATAAAAAAAGTATATGCCATAATTTCTGCCTTCAAGGAAGGAAAAAAACTAGTATTTCTAGAACGTATGTTAGACATTTTATATATAAATTATCTCATTTAATTTGTATAAGAGCCCCATAGATTTTAAATCCCTTCCTCCATGCACTCTTTATTCTTTAAACAGATAAGGGGCAGAGGGGTCAAGTTACTTGTCCAAGAACACCCAGGTGATAGGTAAAATAACCAGATTCTATGTCTGTTTCAAGTCCACGATGCTTTCACCATAACATTTATAATTCAGTTTCGGTACAGAAAGAAAGCTTATAAACAGAAGTACAAGCAGAGATAGTCACCTAACCAAAAATAATCAAATATTTTCATTGGGCAGCATAGATAATAACTCCTACTGAAGTTCACAGACATTCACACAATGACAGTAAATAAGTCAAATACTCTGCCTCAGCAGTCAGGATATATGACGTCCTGGCACTGGCTGGGGAGTCAATAACCACAGAGAAGTGAGAGGCTTGAGGTTGACAGGAGATCTCATCCTTCTCAAGCCTTCCTCCTTTCCAAACTTGTTTTGTCTTATTATTATCAATAATAACTATTGTCATGGATTGAATTATGTCCCCCAAAAAATGTGTGTATCAATTTGGCTGGGCTATGATTCAAAGTATTGTGTGGTTGTCCTCCATTTTGTGATTATAATTTTATGTTAAAGAGGATTAGGGTGGGACAGTACAACACTCTTACTAAGGTCATATTCCTGATCCAATGTAAAGGGAGTTTCCCTAGGGATAAAAGGAAAGGGAAGCAAGCATAGAGTTGGGGACCTCATACCACCAAGAAAGCAGTGCCAGGAGCACAGCATGTCCTTTGGACCCAAGGTTCCTGTGCTGAGATGCTCCCGGACCAAGGGAAGATTGATGACGACGAGGACCTTCTTCCAGAGCGGACAGAGAGTGGAGAGACTTCCAGTCAACATGGCGCTACAGTTAGAAGCACCACACAGTCCCTCCACAGCAAAGATCCGAAAAACTAAGTCAAACAGAGTCACACATCAATCCTGAAACCCTACGCATCAAATGAAGAGATAAAGAACTCAGCCAAGACACCAAATGGAATAAGAAACTTATAGAGAACAGAAAGTGAGGAGAGATACATGCAGAGGTCCCCTATCAGCTTCTGCAGTACAGATCCACCATCTTGGACTCCTATCAGGATCAGCGAACCAGGGGATACGAAAAAGCAGCTTCATGGAGTTTCCAGCAGGAGACAGCGCAACTGGTAATCAGGGATACACGTTTTCCCACCCTCTACACTTCTTCTCCCCGACTCGACCTCCTCTGCTTCCTGAAGCCACCGTCTCTTGGCCAGGAAGCACCAGCTTCACCCTGATGTCACTTGGATCCCACCCACCCGCACTGGCCGGCTCCCTGAGTGCCATTTGTTGGCTGCTGGTGTTGCTTTTTTCTGCTTCATTAGATTTCTTCCTTATCTCTCATCTCTCCCTCCTTTCTCTCAAATACCTGGCTCCGTGTGCCATCTTTACTTCTTCCTGAAAGGCTGCAAAACACCACTCAACTGTGAAACTGCTTCCCGGCCCATGCTGCCATGCTGGTGAGACCCCCGGGGCTTTTGTTTGTTTGTTCTGATTTGTTCTGTTTTGATTTGTTTGTTTTCTTTTTCTTTTCTCGGCTTGGGAGACCTTCTAGCCAGGGAGTACCGTGCAGCTTGGGAACTACTCCCTTACTCTGCACAGATGTACAGTGACATCCCTGCGGGTATTTATTTTTTCTTGTTTTTCTTCTTTTTTTTTTTTTCCAGGGTTTCTTTTTGTTTCCTTGTTTTGTTTTCCTCTTTTTCCCTTTTTGTCTTTCTTCATTTTCAGTTTCTTGATTTATTCTTTTTCTTTTTTTTTTCATTTTTGTTTTTCTCCATTTCTCAGTCTCTCATCTCTCCACTCCAATAGCAAGCTCCCTTAGCACTCTTTTTTGTTTGTGTGTATGTTTTTGGCTCCTGGTTCTTCTCTCCTCTCTCTCCTCTTTCCCATACCCATCTTAGCTCCACACATCAAAATCTCCCCCCTCCTTCCTGCCGACCTGCACCATGTGTTGAACATCACACAACAAAGCAGTACAGGCATGACCTACTGGAACCTGCCCTGCCCTGATTCCCAGTCTGCCCTGTCGGCCCTAGTACATGCCACAAACAACCCATCCCAGCAACTCCCCTTCAGCTGGACCTGCCCTGCTGTACCATACCTGAGTGACTGACCCTGCCCACTGGATAAGGAGGTGAAAAGTATAGTGCCCACAGACGAGCAAAAAACAAAGAACGCACAGCCCGCCTGCTCAGACAGAGCAGACAGAGAAAGCCTTCCCCTAAAGCTGATGCCCTGAATTTGGACTTGTAGCCCACTAGACTGTGAGAAAATAAATTTCTCTTTGCTAAAGCCATCCGCTTGTGGTATTTCTGTTAAAGCAGCACTAGATGACTAAGACAACTACCATTTACTAGATGCCTACTAGTGACTCAATGGCACCTAAAAACAACAACTATATATGAAGGAATGTAGACAGTATACATCCTACTCATACTATCCCACTTAATCCTTACAGTAATACTTTAGGTACAATTTATATCCCCATTTTAAAGGTGAAAAAAATCTCACACCCAGTTTGCACATGTCAGAGCTAGGATTGAGAGCTGGGTCTATCTGACTCCATAGACCTTACTCTTTGTAAGAGATGAAATGGCCTAGAAATAAAGACTATTTAGTCCAAACCTCTTGGTTTCAACCAAAAGTTTCTTCCTGAACACTCACTGTGTTTTAAGCACTATCTCACATCACATGTCTGAATCAAAAGAGGAGGATAGATATTAACTGTTCTCAGCTTATAGTTGAGGAAACTAAAAGCAAGAGAAATTTAAAGAGTTACTCAACATCACAAGGTGGCATTCTCCTCATACTGTCTTGGTGGAGGGGAATATGGTAATAACTATAAAAATTTTGAAATTTTCTTAAGAATTAAAAGTTCTCCAGGAATTTATCCTACAGAAATGTGTATAAAGAGATGTGTTTAAAGATATTCGCTGCAGCATTCTTCATATCCTTGAAAAATTGGGGAAAAAAACAAATACCTAATAGGGAATTAAATAAATTATGTTAATATCCATGTGATAAAATGAAGTAGGTCTATATGTGTAAAGATGAAAAAAGATATTTAAGATAAAACAAAAAAGAAAAAACATACTTTGAACCTTTTTTATATTAATCTAGAAAGAAGGAGAGAGAAAACTAGAATTATAAACAAAGAGGTGGGGAAATCTAGAACTATAAAGAAAGTGTTAATAGTAATTAACTCAGGGGGATTATGAGGGATTTTTACTCTTACATTATAAACTTCCATAAACCTACATTAAATCTGTCTGGGGGAGGGGCAGGACAAGATCTCAGAGCCTTTAAGTAGCAATGACATACTGCTTCCTTCCTCTGGCACCTACACCTGAGCCCTGATTCACTTCTGGCTGTACCCCCAGGTTACCATGCAGTCACTTTTTAGGGACATCTACAGCTTTTTTTTTTTTCCCTGTGATCATTTCCCCACCCAAGGAGGAAGAGATGAAGGAGTTTAAGACCAGATGAGAGAGAAGTAGATGAGGAAAGAGGGGACAGATTCATGTAAGCATCCCACCAGCCTGAAATGACTCAGCTCCTAGTGCTCTATGTAGCAGCCAAAGCGATCCTAAAAATGCAACTCATGTTGTCACTCTGTTTAAAACCCTCTAATATCTTCACTTAGAAGAAAATCTAAACTCCTTAACAAGGCCTGTAATGCCTTCTTTCTGAGTATACCAAGCTTCAATCCTCAGGACTTTTGAACTTCTTTTTCCCTTCAGCTGGAAGGCTCTCCTCACAAACAGGCAAGCTGGCCACTTCACTTTATTAAGGTTTCCACCCAAAAAAATCTCTCTTTAGATAAGTTTTCCTAGCCTTCCTAGCCAAAATAGACTGCTCCCTTACTCCCATCAAACAATTGTGTCTTGTTTTCTTTATGGCACTCCTATGTTAAATTGTTTACGGTTTTTGATCAGTCCCTCTACCCTCTCCCACTCCGTGAGGACAGGACCCTGCCAATTCTGTTCACTGTTGTACAAGTAGTGTCCAATTTACGAAGTATCCGAGTTACAAGGAACTGTACTTACAACCCGTTTTAATTTTTTTGTACTTCTTATCATTAGTAATATGTACTACAATGTTGTCGCACATAATTTGCCAATATCATTCTCAGATGTTCACTCATAGATGTTCAACATTATGATTTATAAAGATACTGATAAGAAAGTAATAATAATGAAAAGTAAAAAATAATGAAGTACTGTATTTTACACAAATAACGCCTGTTATGTTTGTTTTGGCCAATCATGCAACCCTCTCACACATTATTTTCCTAGGTGCACTACGCACATTATTTACATGGGTGCGTTATTTATGCAAAATACGGTATTCAACTTATCTCAGAAAGAACTTATGACAGAGTCGTCGGAACAGACAAAACCCTATAATAAGTTAGGGACTACTTGTATTTCTAGTATTTAAATACAGTACTTGGAATACAAGAGCACACAAAG